CGTGGGCTCCTGGGAGGCCCAGCGGAGGTACGTTCAACGCGGACCACCTGACTCGAGACCTCGCCGCCCCCTGGGGCTTGCCATCTGCGCAGCTGTCGCCACTTTCGTGGGCTCCTGGGCGGCCCAGCGGAGGTACGTCCAACGCGGACCACCTCGAGACCTCGCCGCCTCCTGGGGGGCTTGCCATCTGCGCAACTGTCGCCACTTTCGTGGGCTCCTGGGAGGCCCAGCGGAAAGTACGTTCAACGCGGACCACCTCGAGACCTCGCCGCCCCCTGGGGGCTTGCCATCTGCGCAAAAGTCGCCACTTTCGTGGGCTCCTGGGAGGCCCAGCGGAGGTACGTCCAACGCGGACCACCTCGAGATCTCGCCGCCCCCCGGGGGGCTTGCGATCTGCGCAACTGTCGCCACTTTTGTGGGCTCCTGGGAGGCCCAGCGGAGGTACGTCCAACGCGGACCACCTTGGGACCTCGCCGCCCCCTGGGGGTTTTGCGATCAGCGCAAAAGTCGCCACTTTCGTGGGCTCCTGGGAGGCCCAGCGGAAGTACGTCCCATGCGGGCCACCTCGAGACCTCGCGGCGCCCTGGGGGGCTGCGATCTGCGCAACTTTCGCCACGTTCGTGGGCTCCTGGGAGGCCCAGCAGAGGTACGTCTTACGCGTTGCCGCTGCTCTTCTTGCTGCGTTCTTCTGATTTCACTGCTTGGTGCTCTTCTTCCGCACTGCGGGTTTTTCAGCATGCCCGTCAGCATTGAGTAGTCCTGAGTGTAATCGCCACATGTATAGAAAGGGTTGGGTGCGTCGCAGGGTAATTTCTTCGGCGGAGAACCCAAAATGCCCATCCCTGCCTCCCCTCTGGGGCTCCTCTTGGGGCGTTCCTGGTGCCTTCTTGGGCCGTCTTGGAGGCCTCTCGGGCCGTCTTGGGGGCATCTTGGGCTGCCTGGGCGCTCTCTTGGGGGCCTCTTGGACCGTTTTGGGGCGATCTTTTGGGCCTCTTGGGCCGTCTTGGAGCGTCGGGAGGCCGACAAGGCGAACACGCGAACACCCTTGAAAAACAGAAGGAACACATATGATGTTTGATTAGTTGGGCTCTCTTGGGGGGCCTATTGGTGGCCTCCTGGAGGCCTTTGGAGGTTTCTTTGGAACACGTTGAAGCAATCCTGGGCGTCCTGGACCGATCTTTCGGCGACTCGTGGCCCCCCTTGGACCATCTTGCGGACCATCTAAGACGGCGCTCTAGTGTGGAGGCGCCTCCTTCGATCCACGCTCGAGGCCTTTGCGGCGGCCCCGCCGCGGCCCAGAGCGACGGGCACCACGAGGCAGGACCGCCCACCTCTCCCTCCTTCCCTTGCCAGTGTGTTCGTGTTCGAGTCTTCGCACGCGCTCGACGAGGAGCCAGCGAGGCATAACCTGCTTCAGTTCTGCCTCAGTCGATTCTGTCGTGTCTAGGCTGCCGAGGGGTCAATCGGTAGATATTGGGGGGGGCTGTGTCCACAGTTCTCATCTCATGGCTTATAATATCACCCTCAGGGTCTGAATTTGCGAAGCCTTTTGGGGAGTAAGCAGTCGAGGCCGTCTGTGGCCTTCTTCTGCAAGGGCTCCTTGAACTCTACTCGTAAGCGTTACGCTAAGAGATTTCAGGATTGACAGTGGGCCCATAGATCAAGGTCAGCCCTCGAACCAAGCGAAGTCCTCGTAGTTCGGGTGTGGCTGTGTTGTCGTTTCAGATCACATAGCCATGGGGCAGTCATTAATTCATCCCCTTCTTACCCCTTGATCGTCTTCTCTCCATCTCTGGGTCACCTACAATGTGCGTTTATCTTCGCGCCCTCGCACCGCTGGACCAGGCCGCGAATACCGAGGCGCGAATATTTTCGCGCCCCTGACGTGTCAGCCTCTGCCAAACGTGGCGGCGCCCACAACGGGCTGGGGCAAGGGAGTGGCTTCTGAGGAGACAAGGGGGGTGGGAAGGGAAGGCCTTCTAAGAAGGCTTAGGGGTTCTTTGAAGGGACCCTCCCCTTCCGGGAGGCCTCTGAAAAGGCTCCTGAGAGAGCAGGAGGGCCCCCACAGCCCTGGAGGCCCTCTGTCTACTTGTAGGGCCGTCTCCTTCGCCCGGCCTCCTAACAAAATCTGCTCCACATCGGTTCCTAGAATCCTCCCAGGGTCCATTCTGACAAGTTTTTCGAGCTGCGTCCACAGTGGCCACGACAATCCCCACACATGCTCAAAAACCCTCCACACGACCACGACAATGACAACTTCTCTGCCAGCTAACAGGCCCCAGTCTCGGCTAGCCGTCGTCTGAACATGACGCGAAGGACAGAGTAACATCTTGGGCGCTTTGCATCTGCGAGAGAACGCGTTTCACGGGCGCTCGCCTTCGGAACAGTCGGCGGCGCGTTTCAAACGGGGCGGTGGGCGCCCCTCCCAACACTCGGCGCCGTCGATCAAAACCAGGGGGACTCCCCTCCCCCCCAACCCTCCCCCCTCCCACACCCCCCCACCCCACCCCTCCCAAAGGGGGGGGTTCAACCCCCCCCCTCGACGCCGGCGCCGACGCTGGCGGCCGCCAGGAGCGCCGACGGCGGGGACGCAGCGACGATGACCAGAGGCAGCCCAAGGGAGGGGGCGGGGGGGGTTTGAACCCCCCTCTCCTAGCGCGCGGGGGGGAAAGAGGTTTGAACCCCCCCCCCTCCTCCCCCCTGGCGCCGGCGCCGGCGCTGGCGGGGGCCAGCAGCGCCGGCGCTGGCGCCGGCGACGGCGGGGACGCAGCGGCGAGTACCACCACTACCACCACTACCACCACTACCACCACCACCACCACCGCCTCAACCACCACCACCACCACCACCACCACCACCCACCACACAACCACCACCACCACAGCCACCACCACCACCACAACCACCATCACCACCACAACTCACCATCACAACCACAACCACAAAACCACAAAACCCACCACCACTACCACCACCACCACCACCACCACAATCTACAACACCACCACCACCACCACCACCACCACCACCACCACCACCACCCACCGACACAACCACAGCCACTACCAGCAGCACGACCACCCCACCACCACAACCAAACACCACACCACCACCGCCACCACCACCACCAGCCCACCACCACCCACCGCACCACCACAACCCACCACGACCCACCACCACCACCACACAAACACCACCACCACCACCACCACCACACCACCGAAACACCACCACCACAACCTCGCCACACCACCACCGCCACCACAACAACAAAAAACACCACCACTACCACCACCACCACCACCACCACCACCACCACCACCACCACCACCCACCACCACCACCACCACCACCACCATCACCACCACCACCACCACCACCACCACCAACCACCCCCACCACCACCACCACCACCACCACCACCACCACCACCACCCCCACAAGCTACCAAACCACCACCACCACCACCACCGCCACAACCACCACCACTACCAGCAGCACAACCCATCACCACCACCACAAACCACCACCACCACCGCCACCACTACCACCACCAGCGCCACCACCACAACCCACCACCACCACCACCACACCACAAACCACCACCACACCAGCACCAAACCACCATCGCCACCACCACAACACACCACCACCACCACCACCACAAACCACCACCCCACACCACCACCACCACCACCACACACACACCACCACCACCACCACACCACCATCACACCACCCCCACCACTACCATCACCACCACCCCACCACCACCACCAACACCACCACCACCCCACCACCACCACCACCACCACCACCACCAACCACCACCACCACCAACCCACCACCACAACCACCACCACCACCACAACAAACCACCACACCACCACCACCACCACAACCACCACCACCGCCACCACCACCACCACAACCCACCACCACCGCCACCACCGTCGTCCTCGTCGACGCTCCCCGCCGCCGCCGCCCGCCGCCGCAGGCGCCGGCGCTGGCCCAGAAAAGGAAATCGTCGTCCCCGCCGCCGACGCCAGCCGCCGCCGACGCAAGCGCCAGCCCGAAGAGAGAGGAAGCAGGGGAGGGAGGGGGGGGGTCGAACCCCCCCCACTCCATCCGGGGGGGGGGGTCCTGTTCCAACCCCACCCTTTCCAAGCGACCACAGGACGCGCTCTTTCGCATCTGCAGACGCCGTTCAGCCCAAGTGTCACAAATACCCGCACGTTCGAGCTACTGAGAGCAATCGCAGTCCCAAAAGTGAGAGCTCACGAGGTGCAGAAAGACGACGAGGCCGAGGTCGAGAGCGACGACGACGACGACGACGCCGGCGACCGCCGACCAAGACGACCACGGCGACGAGCGACGGGGCAGGCGAAGGTGGCAGCAGCGGCTCCGGACGAGGCTGCCTCCTATGCCAAGCCCCTGGCAACCAGGAGGCCACCGGCCGCGAGCGCCCACCGACGACGACGCCGACGCGCGCGCCGCCGAGGGAGGCAGGCACCAACGGACGCTGGTCAGCGGGAGGCGGAGCTGATCAGCCGGGCGGGTGCTCGGGGGCGCCCAAGAGGGGGGCGTCCACGTGGGGGAGTTCACAAATCATGGCCTGAGGCACGTGCGCGGACGAGGGCGGGCCACGGGACGTCCCGAAAGAAGAAGGGGGAGCATGAGATCTGGGGAGATATCATGGTTTCCGCCATGATATCCCCCCCACTCATCATCAGTCCCCTCTTAGCCGTTCCCCACGGGAGGCGGAGCTGATCAGTCGGGCGGGTGCGAGGGGCAACGATAAGGGGGGACTGGCGCAGGGGGGTAACATCGACCTGGAATCGGCGATACATGGCCGATGCATTGGCGATAGGCCCCAGATAGCGACTCCTCACGTTCCTGGAAAGGGTGGGGCCCTCGGGCCCCAATCGACGATCAATGGGTGATAGGGGGTCGGCCTCCCCTATGCCTATCCCCCACTATCGTTGCCCGTGGGGGTGCTCCTGCTCCATGAGGAGGTTGCCCCCGGGCATCGCGCCGCCGAGGCCCGCGCCCTGCGCGCAGAGGAAGGTTGGGGAGTGGCCGCCGACACGTCTGCGGGGCAGAGGGCAAGAAGGAGCAGCCCGCTCCTGCCGCTGTGGCTCCTCCTCCTCCTCCTCCTCCTCCTCTTCTTCTTCTTCTTCTTCTTCTTCTTCTTTTTCCTCTTCCTCTTCCTCCTCCTCCTCCTCCTCCTCCTCCTCCTCCTCCTCCTCCTCCTCCTCCCCCTCCCCCCTCCTCCTCCTCCTCCTCCTCCTCCTCCTCCTCCTCCTCCTCCTCCTCCTCCTCTTATTATTATTAGTATTCTTATTATTAGTAGTATTATTATTATTAGTATGATTATTATGATTATTATTGTTATCATCATCACCATCATCATCATCACCATCATCATCATCATCATCATCATCATCATCAGCATCAGCATCATCATCATCAGCATCATCATCATCATCATCATCATCATCATCATCAGCATCATCATTATTATTATAATTATTAGTATTATGATTATAATTCGTATTATTATTATTATTATTATTATTATTATTATTATCATTATTATTAATAATGTTATTGTTATGTAAGTGCTCGCACGTGAATCATCTAGGCAAGCCCGACCGCCGTCAAGCGGTACAACGCTTCCGTAGTCTTCTCTGGGCTCAAAGCGGGGCCTCAGATGGCATGGATTTCGGGCTGAACCTTTTTTACGAGGTTGTTCGATCGTTGGGCACCGCCGCCATAGTCTCGGCGGGCAGCTGCCCAGCGGTCCCCGCGTGCCCGGCCTGCCCGCCGTGCCCGGCGGTGCCCGCGTGCCCAGGCGCGCCACCGCTCCCCGAGCCGACGTGCGGGGTGAGCGACCCCGAGGTGCTGGCGGGCAACAGCCGCCTGTGGGCCTGGACGGTGCTGCTGCTCGCGGCCAGCTCGACGTTCGCCGCCCTCGGCTTCGCGCGCAATGGCGGCCGCAGCCCCGCTGGGGCCGCTGCCCCTGCAGGCGGCGCCGGGGCTGGGAGTGGCGGCACAGGCGGTCCGGGCGGCGGTGGCCTGGGCCTTCGTATGGTACGCGACGCCGGAGGTCCTGTGGCACCAGAGGCTGCTGCTCGGCGTGCTGGCGTCATCGGCGACTAGGTTCCTCATTGTCACGCCAGATGGACAAGTATATGATGAAGATTACGGACCTGCCAATGCAGACGTGGTTGGGGTCCGCTTCGCGACGGAGCGGTGGCCACCCCCAGCCGGCGTGACGAGGGCGATGTGCTACAGGTTCGCCGCCGCTCCGACGGCGGCTCAGATCGCCCAGTGGACGGGTGAGGCGACCGCCCACGCCATGGCGTTGCAGACTACGGTGACGCCGCTCCCCGCGCTGGTGCACGGCAGCGCGACGCCGCCGGGGGTACCAGCCGCCGCGCCTGCCCCTGGGCCGCCCGC